CACACACATCACACGGCACTCTCACACAAAGCACTCTCACACACGGCACTCTCACACCCATCACACACGGCACTCTCGCACACACAGCACTCACACACACGGCTCTCACACACGGCACTCACACACACATACTGCACCCCTCACATACACACAGAACCCCCCAACACACTGCACCACACTCATACACAATACTTCCAAATATAAATATATATATATATACATATATACACACATACATACATACATATATACACACACTACACTCTTAACATACACACTCTGGATCCCCTATACACAAACTAGATTCCTTGTAAGCAAACACATACTCACCTATATACACACACACATCATCACCTATATACACACACACACACACACTATAGCCTGTATGCACACACTTGCTATATTCCCAATACACACATTCTCTACAGCCCATAGCCACATATGCATCACATTACACCACAAACACAACATGACTAAAACCAACCTTATTACACAATACCACACTGTGATGGAATTCCAGTAAAATACAAGTTTAGCAGGCCAAGATTGCCACAAGGCATATGTAGGTACATGTGTTTGTAGTATCAGTTAGTTAGTTACACGTAGCTAAGATACTGTCATCACTGTACTGAGCATGTAGGAATGCAGGAACTGGAATTACGCGTTCCTCTCCTTTGTTTCATATGAGCCACGTGGTTAGACCGGATGGATTAGTTTAGACTCTATTCATTGATTAGGTTAAGGGTATGTGTGGGCGTAGCTAGTTATGGGAGAAGCTACGGTGCTATATAAGGAATGTACTCTATGTATTCAGTACTCAGATCTTTGCTGTTTTTGGTGACATAAGTCCCTCTGAGTCCCGGTCGGTGAATTGAATAAAGATCTCTTCCTTCCTGAAGAAACCTGTGTCCATCTCTCTGTGCTTGGCCTCCGTCAGTTTCCCGGTAACATCTTTGGTGCATTGGCCGGGAAGCTCGTCGTTAACGGTGGCTAGGAAGCAGAGACGTGAGACGGTCTATCTTTGCCCACGTTCTCTATGGCTGCACCCCTGAACTTCTGCGTGGACCTCCCTTCATCTTGGCGCCACTGGTCTGTTGTCCAGGAGATCATCGGCCTCTACGTAGTAAGTACTGGGGTGTCCCCGTCGATGAGTGTGAACTCAGGTTCAGGAACGAGGAGGTAAGACGACTACTGTTTTAGATGGTGGACCCACTAGGGGTATTGGATACCGATTGTGCGGTAGGCCCATAAGGGGTTTGAATTGGAATTGTGTATGGAATTGGCCCCCTCCAGGGAGGGAAGGAGCAAAGGCGCACCGCTCATAATTAGACGCCCTGTAGTCAGCCCGTCTAATCTTGGTATGGAGTCAGGCTGGGTCTTGGTTGAATGTATATAGCCCAAGCTGGACACCGGTGTCTTGTCTAGACTAGCGTATCTAGGGTGTACATTTCGTTCGCTAGGTCGGAGGGACCGGGAGACTAAGCAGACTCTGGTGTACATTATCGTTTGCTAGTTCTCAACCTATCTTGGCTAAGTGGGAAGGAGTGTAAATTTGGAACCCACTAGACTATTGATAGAGTAGATAGACTCTAAATTTGGAACCCACTAGACTATTGATAGAGTAGATAGATTGTAAATTCCGCCCTCTAGTTCGCTATATGTGGTGCTTGGGCAGCAACGGCTAACCAAAACGGATGTAAATAGTTTTAGGTAGTCCCTCGAGGTACTGTCCAATAGATTAGTTGGGAAACTGTAAATGTGTTAAAATTTATTATAGTAGAGTGTATATCTTGCTGGGTA